CCAATTGTGAAAAAAATCCACCACCAAAGGAGATTAAATGAACTCACCAGAGATAATGGCTGGTCAGATTATAAACCAGCAACAGCACTTGTGCTCTGGGAGCAATGAACCCGATGTCCAAATAGATATGGTGATGTTTCAGACACTTCCGGATAATAATAATCACAGTCAAACAACTTTGCAGCCCATAAAATGAAAAAAAAAACGTATTGCACCATTATGTTCTCTTTTTTGTCCCTGAGTGTACTGTATGCTCTCATGGAGATATGAGAAAAAGTGAAGTTCATCATAAGAGCTTGGGCTGCAAAGTTGTTTTTTGTGATTATTATTATCCGGAAGTGTCTGAAACATCACCATATCTATTTGGACATCGGGTTCATTGCTCCCAGAGCACAAGCGCTGCTGCTGGTTTATAATCTGACCAGCCATTAGCTCTGGTGAGTTCATTTAATCTCCTTTGGTGGTGGATTTTTCACAATTGGTTCAAGTCACTGAAGATATATATATTTTTTTTTGGACACTAATATATATATATATATTTTTTTTTTTGGACACTAATTTATGTTTGGACACTATGATTATTTATTTAAAACACTAAATGTTTTTTTTGGATGATGATATACACCTTTGTATAAATTTGTTATTAGCGCATACCTTTTAATTAGGATAACCTGGAAGGAAGACCAAAGATGGAAGCCTCTGCAGCGGTGACAGCGAGTCACTGGAGGGCTTCATTTTAAGGTAAGTCCTACATAATTATGACATTACCTTGCAGGGGACTTTTTTGTCCTGCGGTTTGCTTTAATTAAAAATGAACTTCAAGTAAACTGCTAAATGCACTAAAAAATACATACAGTATATATGGAGCTGCTTTACCTGCTAAGGATTTGTGTTTGTCCATCCAGTCCTCTGATTTATACAGGTCTTCTACCTCCTCCAACCTGTGACTGGACAGTAAAGGAGAAGTAGCAGACTGATGAGCTCACCTCCCCTAATAAAACTAAAATCCCTTTCTTGTAGTGGGTTAACTGCCTTTTTCTGCCTGTGGCACCTTCAAAGATATGATTCTTCACTCCAACAGACTCTGCTGTACTGCTAGATGGTCCCTTCAGCCTCTTCTGTTCTACACTCTGGCAGTCTAATGTCTTCTGATATCATTAAGACCAATGGACATGATAACACTAAGGAATTGTCTAAACGGCAGAACATAGTGGAGCAGCATCTGCCAGGGGAGAAGAGTATCAGTTAAGAGCAAAGTAAGCAGAAATTGAAACAAAAGTTTGTTAAAGTGTATCCAAATCCAAAACCTTTTTCATTTTAGATTAGTAGGATTTTGTTAAAGCCCTTATTAGGATTCCCCTTACTTACTGTCCTGCAGACACAACAGGAAGTCAAGCAAAATCCCATCTCTGACAGTTGTCAATGGAAAACAAAAAGCACTTTTATCAAAGAGACTAAGCAGAGCTAGTATTAATAATAAGTAAAGCATTATATTTTATTACTTTTGACAAAAAAATAATATCAAGTGGAAAAATAAACAGAAAAGACCTGAAACTACAAAATAATATACAAAAATTAACAATACAAGTTATAGAGTAGCAATAGTATTGATACATTAAAACATGTCACATGATGCATGCGTAGCTGTTGCATGTAATTGCATTTTGTTGTAGGATAAAACAAAAAAGAAAAGAAAAATATTAAATAAGTATTAATAATAATCATAATAATAACAATAATAAATAATAATAATAATAAAATACAGTAAAGTAAACATGTCACATTATGCATACAATCCTGTCACTTGCAGTAATAGTCCTTTTGCACACGGAGACTGAGCATGTTTTATTGTAACATATTCAACATATTTCCCCCACCCAGAAAGCCCAGGTGTCACTGCAAAGAATAGTAAATGTTCTACTTTTTTCTGCATACATCTGTGTGCCATACTTGAGTTTGTATGATAGCACTGCTATATACTCAAGTATAGATGTGCACACTCATTCATGTCTATGTGCTAAATGCAGTACCTTGGCTTCTTGGGTGGGGGAAATACACTGAATTTCTGTTGCACTGACTCAGGCACCCATGTGAAGGCCATACTCATTCATCTGTTTGTTTTTCTATATCATGCAGTGATCCCAAACCAGAAAAAAAAGGCAATTCTGGACTCTTGGGCACCTGTAGGTTGCTGCTCCGTTATTATAAATTACTTCTGCATTCTGATATAGCACATCGTTTGTTTAAACCCATTTCCATGTAACCACCGGTTAATCATTGGCAGGGAAAACCCTGTTTATAATAGGAATATACTGTGCCTATGGTTAAAGATATTCTTTTTCTGCTTACTTTACAAATAATTCTTTATTAGTCACATATATCATTTGGGTGTTTGACCCTGAAAATTGAGACTCACATTTTCTGATATAATGGGTATAAGTCTAGGGGCTCTCAATTCTGCATGATATTCTGTCCAATCTGAGCATTAGCCTCACAGCTGCGGATGGTGTGTCTATAACGTTTTGCAACTCAGTTAACCAACTCTGGTAGAAGAAATAATTACATAACTTTGAAGCAGCTAAGTTATAAATACAAAGGTGAAATTTATTAAGTTGATTGTCATATAGCACTAGTTGTATGATCCAAAAAAGGGTTCTTAAAGGATAATTAAACCCAAGGACAAAAATGTAATATGATGCAACAGCTGACAGTCCTTACATTTTATGCGTTTATTCATTTGTTTACAGAAAATACCTGTTGAGCTTGCAGAAATGCTGTGTCCATGTCACTTCCTGTACGCTGTACAGAAGAATATCTTCCTTCCTGCCTATCTTCTATAATCTAACTATTGCAGTGACCACCATGTAGTGGAGATCATTACCAGGTGAAAAAAAGAAAATGAATGCAACCACCACACCAAGGACTAGTAATGTGCAGTATATTAAATTGTTCATTTTGGGTTTAGATACACTTTCAAATCTATGTAAACTATTGACTAAAATTACACATAACCTTTAAGATGTTATTTCAAAAGTTTTTAGGAAATACTAAACAGTTAAGGTATACGTAATGAAAAACAAACTGAGAGATATGACTTATCCCATTTGCCTTCGGCAGCTTGTGTTGGGCCCAGCCCAAAAAAGAGCTAACAATGCTTTTCCTTGAGACACTAAAGATCCTGCAGCTCATTTCAGTACAGTACCAGTGATGCATGGGAACTTAGGAACAAAACAAAAAATGAGTGCAAAAATCAAGCACAATAAATACAACCTGCCACCATTAGGGGTCAGACTTGGAGACCAGTAGAAAGGTTCCCACTAATCAGCAGGATAGCTACACAAGCAGGTCACCTTGGCAGATGGGTCTAAGTACTAACCAGTATTCACCAGAGCTTCTGTTGGTGGAAATAGGTTTTGCTGTGTAATAGTACCAAATCATGGTCCTCAGATCACCCTACCAGGAGGTGAGCAAGCTGAGGACCAGTAGCAGATATAGCAGGTAGGGATCAAGCAGAAGTGTAGTCAGTAAACAAGCCAAAAGTGGTTGCAGGTTGAGATCTAGCAGAAGCGTTGTTGAGGAACAAGCCAAAGATTGGTAATGGGTAGTAGTGAAGATACAGATGACAGCAGAAGTTACAAGAGTGAGATATTGGCTGCAGAGAACACAGTAATCTAGCAAAAAGGAAATGCAAAGGCTTAAATAGGAAGTTCATGGGAGGAGCAAAGGGTTCATGGTTCAAGAGAAACAAGACACAAGGCAAGACACAATGGGGTGATTCTTTTTACAACTCAGTGATTCTGTTTTTGAATTTTTTTCTGACATGTTGGTGTTATATCTTTCACTTGGATGTTATAAGTTGCACTGAGTAAATACAGCTGGATAAAACAAAAACTGTGTCTGTCTTCATTTCAGGCTGCAAAGCAACAAAATGTGATTATTTCAAAGGGGGTGATTCTTTTCTATACTCACTGTAAGTGTGAAGAATGGGTGTCTACAAATTTGGTCTTAAAATTGTTCTGCATGGTTGTATAACAGTCAGCAAGTTTACTGGATCAGTGGCACTTTAGAGGGCTATTTGCCTTTTCCATCATATTATTTCCATTTTCCAGTATGATAATGCCATTATAGACCTCAATAAAGAAATGTAGGAATAGTTTAATGAACACCAGAATTAAATCAAACACATTGCATGGACTCCCTGCTATCCATATGTTAAAACCATTCAGTCTTACTCGGTATCTCTTGAATACAAAGAAAATGTACACCTTTATCCCTGAAGGCTTTTCTTCTCAATTAATGCAGAATAACAGTAGACACAGTTCAGGACTTGTAGGATAGCATTCCAAGGAGTTACGCTAAGCTACTTTGAAGACAAGATACTGCTCTAATCCTTATTGGATATTAAATTATCCTTAGGTGTTTCTGTTTTTTTCGTCCACTTCTTCTCTGTAATTAGGTAACCCCTGCTGTAGCCTGGCACTGCCTCTTCCTGGCAAGTTAAGTTCTGTCTCCCTATCTGACCTTATCACAGGTGACGGGACATATATGCAAAGGAAGGACAGCTTTGAATATGAAAGGTAGACTGTACACAAGGCAGAAATGTATCCTAACATACTCCTGTGCCCTTTCTTACCTGTGTAACTTTACATTATATCTTAATCTAGAAGTGTGCAGTTTGCAAAACAGCTCTTCAACGTCTGCATGAGATACTGCATTTTAGGTCCAGCATTTTTATTTTACCCCTAAAGTACAGAGGTTTCAAAGTGACCTTGTCAACAGCAATTTCAGATAAAACCACAGATCAATCAAGTATTTATAAAGCTTACTTGTAGTGTTTTCCCTTCCATACATTATTTTTTATTCAGTTGCAATGTGTCTTTGAACTTGCCAGAACATTTTACTACTTGAATAAAGTACCGTATTTTTCGCTCCATAAGACGCACCTGACCATAAGACGCACCTAGGTTTTAGAGGAGAAAAACCAGAAAAAAAATATTCTGGACCAATGGACTGCAGACATAGTACGGGAAATGACCAGAGACTGCAGACACAGTACAGGAGATGACCAGAGACTGCAGACACAGTACAGGAGATGACCAGAGACTGCGGATACAGTACAGGAGATGACCAGAGACTGTGGATACAGTACAGGGGATGACCAGAGACTGCAGACATACTACAGGAGATGACCAGAGACTGCAGACATACTACAGGAGATGACCAGAGACTGTGGACATACTACAGGAGATGACCAGAGACTGTGGACATACTACAGGAGATGACCAGAGACTGTGGACATAGTACTGGAGATGACCAGAGTCTGCAAACATACTACAGGAGATGACCAGAGACTGCGGACACAGTACAGGAGATGACCAGAGACTGCGGACACAGTACAGGTGATGACCAGAGACTGTGGATACAGTACAGGAGATGACCAGAGACTGCAGACATACTACAGGAGATGACCAGAGACTGCAGACATACTACAGGAGATGACCAGAGACTGCAGACATACTACAGGAGATGACCAGAGACTGTGGACATAGTACAGGGAGATGACCAGAGTCTGCAAACATACTACAGGAGATGACCAGAGACTGCAGACATACTACAGGAGATGACCAGAGACTGTGGACATACTACAGGAGATGACCAGAGACTGGGAGATGACCAGAGACTGTGGACATAGTACAGGAGATGACCAGAGTCTGCAAACATACTACAGGAGATGACCAGAGACTGCGGACACATTACAGAAGATGACCAGAGACTGCGGATACAGTACAGGAGATGACCAGAGACTGTGGATACAGTACAGGAGATGACCAGAGACTGCAGACATACTACAGGAGATGACCAGAGACTGCAGACATACTACAGGAGATGACCAGAGACTGTGGACATAGTACAGGAGATGACCAGAGTCTGCAGACACAGTACAGGAGATGACCAGAGACAGCAGACATAGTACAGGAGATGACCAGAGACTGCGGACTTAGTACAAGAGATGACCAAAGACTGCGGACACAGTACAGGGGATGACCAGAGACTGCGGACACAGTACAGGAGTTGTCCTCCCTCCCCGTGTTCTGGTGCACGTGACAGGTCGCAGAAGGCTGCTGGACCATTCACAAAGCGCAGAGCTTCTCATGCATGCTAAGTGGGCACCCGGCTGTCACAGCTGGGTGCCCACTCTAAAGATGCTGGTGCTGAGAGAGAAGACTATACAGTGCTGGACCAAGGAACAGGTAAGACTCTGCTGCAGAGAAGAGCCGAGTGGGCGGCCCAGTATTCTGACACAGCGGCGGCGGGAATACCAGACTGGCCACTCCATATTTGCTTCATAAGACGCACAGACATTTTCCCCCATTTTTTTGGGGGGGAGGGAAGTGTGTCTTATGGAGCAAAAAATATGGTAAATTCCTCAGCACAACTCCCTCTATGCACATCATACCCCTCTCCTCTTTTTAGAGTGTCTAAATACTCTCTGTGCTGGCCCAGCTCTTTCACTCCTCCCTTCACCTCCCTACATAACATTTTATGTAACTGCAAAGGCAGGACTGCGGGGGAATACTATAAAGTGTCACTTGAGTAACAGCTCTGAATCTGCTTGGGCTGCTGATGTCACATCCAAGATGGTGTCACCCAGCAGCAGTCTTGAGGCCTTTGAATGTCTACAGAAGGGAGGCTTTTACAGGATAATAACATACATAAAAATATGTTAAATGCACATATGATCTTATGGGATGATTTTTGTTTAAATGAATGGTCTGTTGAAACCTAGAAGTGTAACTAGAACCTTCAGGGCCTGGTGTAAGAAACCATAAAGGACCACCCTGACCAATGGCTGGGGCACTTCCCACTGATCCTGGGACCCTATACTCCCATTGCGGGGCCTTTTGTTATGGCCCTGCAGTGGGACCCTTTCACATGTTTTGCAGTTGGTCCCCTTCCTGCCATCTTGGCTCCCCCCCCATAGTGATGAAATGCCAGGGCCTTTGCAACTCTGTTAGTTCTGCCACTGCTGTCAGTACTTTTTTATTTTTGTCATTTTTTTTTGTTCTTTACCACTTTAATAAATTAATAAATTATTTATTTAATTATTTTTTACAATTTTATGGTTTATTATTTTTTTTAATTTTTTAAAAGCCCCATTGGGGGGCTTTGGTGAAATATTGGATGTCTAAACAGACCTCTGATATTTAACTTTAGAGACAGTGAAAGGAGATTGAGGACATAGCCCTCAATCTCCATCTCTGCAACCTCAGAAGCACAGAATGAATAGACAAGAATAGCTCTGTACAGATCTTCCCGTTCATTTACAAACTGATACAAAGTAAAAACAGTTTACTATGCTTAAATTATGAATAAACAGAGTCAATGATCGGTCATTAAGACAAGGAAGGGGCGGGTAATTGACACAATTACCCTCCCCTTCTTCACTCTCCATCCTGACAGCATTCCCCGCAGTAGCCTAGGGGAGAGGGGATGGGGGGACCGGCAGCACTGCAGAGGATGAGAGGGGCCAGGGGATCACACAAGGGTCTGATCACAGCAGGAAGTGGATAGTAGGGGAGACATCTAGAGAAAATAATCCCCTCCATTTTCCTCCTGCAGCAACGGAAAGGCTGCAGGAGGAAAATGGGTGGCATAAGGTCCTCTATAGGCTACCCTGCCACCCCTCCTTTCCAAGCGTACAAGAGAGCCACATGGACCCTCTGGAGCATGGGGCCGGGTCACAATTGTGACCCTTGTATGTACGACCCTGGCGAGACCATTGAGGCAAATTGACCTGTGTCTTCTGATATCTCGACCCACCAAGAAAGTTTTCACCAATCCACCTTCCTGCTCCTTTGGAGTCAAAGTTTGGCCATTCAGGGCAGAGTATCAGAGTCTGTGTAAGGCCTACACCTGAATTGCTTATACTCCATCACTCCATTGCTGCTTCTACCTCTGTGGCCACCACTGCAAAACAACATGTGTAAAACGTATGTTTGGGAGAGCATTTGATGACCTCCTATGGTGTAGTGCTCAGGGCTAGTGGCCAATCACTAGTACTGAGCACTGTCAAATGTTAGTCTTTGGACTCCCAACATTAACCATCACTGGGTATTTTGGTGGTGACTGTGAGGGAGGATGTAGCATCAAAGGAAAGCTGAAGAGGTGAGCTTTGCTGGCAGTGTCTCTTTAAGTTTGTGAGAACATGCCTCATTTTATTCAAAGTTTGTGGTGTTCTTCACATCTCCAACATCCCTGCTCTAACAGCGTTGCTATAGTTCCTGTATTCTTTTTACTCTGTAATCTTTAGTTTTAATTTTTCACCAATTAAGTTACTCATGAAATTCCTGGGCACAGAAAAACAAATGCTTCAGTGCTCACAATGTAATTAGGGGGATTTGTGGCTCGTGAAATACTAACTCAGGCCAGAGGAGTTTGCATGAGAATGAAAAAAAACGTTTGTAAATAGACAAACCGGTGGGAGATTGGGTCTAAAATCCTAAAAATTCACAAATAAGAGCCTGGAAAATTAAAGCAATTTTTACCCATGATCTAAAGAACCAATGTAACACCACTTCTGTAGGGGACGCTGGAAGATGATTGTCCCCAAAGGTTGCCCTGACCTTGCAGGCCTTCGTTTGGACTTCAGGGTCTAGGTCACACATCTACAATAAAAGTAAATCAAACATCAATTATAAGCAGACCCTTGAAGAACCTATGACCCCAGATATAAATGGAAGAGGGAAGACCTTCCTGTGTCAATCTTCTCCTTTAAAGTCCTGATGCCACGGGCCCATAAAATTATTAACACAATTTATAATTCAATATGTGAGTAAGCTATTTCTAAATGTGAATTTCCCCTAATATACACAGAGATGGAACTCCTTTAAATGGGAGAGGGAAACAAGAGAGAAAAGTCTTGCCAATATGATGTGCTCAAACTCTTCTGCTAGCTCAATCACGATCCAGAGGGATTGCTGTGCAACGGAACCAGCGATAATGAATAACATGTGCAAGTGTTTCCTGCTAGTAGCTTTGAGGGTTTGAGAGATGAAGTAAAGGCGCCAGCATGCAGTGTCCTTATGAAGAGTGTAATCAGTGTGGGCTTCTGCCTGCTCGCCAGGCTGGAAGATACCAAGGCTCAAGTGTAAAAGATGTCCTAGAATAGGCTCTTGAAGCATCTGTGCCCAGTGAGAGGCATTTAAACCAGGCACCTGGTGATGCTGGGTCTCAGCTCAGCCTGTCATGGTGATGATGTACAGTATGTGACCCTCAACAGTTACTGAATTATCGGGGAGCTGGAACGGATGATCTGCCTGCAGGTACCTGGATCACCCGTTGAAGATTCCCTGCGCTGTCTTGGCTGCAAGGCCGTCTCTGACTCACCAGTGCTGCCGGGCCCCTCCTCTCCACCTCTGGCAGTGATCTCAAGAGATCGAGCTTTCTCTGGGTAAGGCTTTATATGTCCTCTCCCAGCATCCCCCGTTTCTTTCCAGTTGGCTTGACCTTGTAGATCACAGCAACAATGACTCCATAAGAAAAACCGGCTCCTGGACTATATGTCCCACAATCCTCTGCTCTCAATAGCGGGCCTCCTCTCACTGGTTACAGGACACAATATTGCAATTACCAGGCTGATCACTTTGTTAAGAATGTCCCTCGGTCATACAGGTGAGCTAGCCAGCCCTTGGCTACACCAACATCCCATCATTGCAGTCTGCAAAACACGGTTGAATAGTCAAGAGTTGTTCATAATATATTACATACTAACCAATAGTAAACCTCCCATATTTAAATAATATATAAACCCAGCATTTTATATTCCTGATACAGTATGTTTCTGCTGTACCATAATCATTATTATTATACAGAATTTATTTAGCGCCAACAGTTTGCGCAGCTCTTTACAATATAAAGGGAGATTATGCAACTGAGAACAGAAGGTAAGTGATCACTTAAGAAATAAAAAAAGGGAGTAAAAGAGGGTTTGTATAATGTTTTTCTTTTCATTTCAATTATAAATTGAATGGGTTGCTTTACAAGGTGAGGGTTTACACATTCTCTGCTACTACATTGACATCCATTGACTCTCCATTCTTTCCTATCCTGGGAAATCTGGGTTTTCAACAAGGTCTTCAAGCCAGATCCTTTCACATTTTACTAGAATATGCAGCATCCCACTTTCTGATAGCGGAAGCCTGGCCTTTCCTTCAGCTACTGGCAAGTTCTACAAACCCATTCCTTGTGGACTTTTGGAGGGTGTTGCAGTTACATCATGTCTTGCAGTCTCTACTACCTCCACACACTTTCTGTTGCCAGCTTACTATGTTGAAGGAATACTGTTCTGATCAGAGAACTCTCCCTTACTCGCTCTCAAAGGCCTACTGTTTACTGGCAGCACCCTCAGATGATCACCAAATGACTTCCATTGAAAAATGAGAATCGGATCTGGGTAGAACATTTACAGAGGACCAATGAAATAATATCATTAGATTCACCCCTGAAATCCTTGAT